AGAGTTTGCATATTGGAAGCTTGGTCCCCAGTGTGGCAGTATTGGGAGTTGGCACAGAACCTTTCAGAATGTATGTATAATGAGGAGAAATCAGATCATCAGGAGGGGGGTTACTACCCCTCAAAGTGGGGAATGCTGTGGAGTGAGCTCTCCAGTTGCTCTATGAGAAGAAAAAAAAAAAAAGCGGGTCTGACCTCTGTTCCTCTCTCTCTCTCTTCCGGCCTCATTCTGTGATCTTTTGCCATGATGCCATCCACCATGATGTGACACAGTTGGCAGAGCTGGTCCATGGTGTTTGAACTTGTAGCCTCCAAAAACTGTAAGCTAAATAAACCTTCCTCTTTTAAAAATAAAACAGTCAGCATCTGGTACGCCATCTAGAGAAACCACGCTAAGTCCCCAGGTCTCTAAAATAGTCAAATTCATTGAGTCAGAGAATAGAGCTACAGTTTCTAAAGGCTGGAGGAAAGCGAGGTGGGGAGTTACTTGCTCATCAGTGAGTAAAAAAAAAAAAAAAAAAAAAAAAAAAAAAAAAAAAAAAAAAAAAAAAAAAAAAAAAAAAACCAGCAGTTAAGCAGAGAAACGAGTTCTAGAGATCTGCTATACAGTGTATGTATAGACAGCACCACAATATTTATACTGAAGACCCTGCTAAGGGGGCAGATCTCTGGTTAAGCATTACCATTAATGATTTTTTTCTTTGTCTGCGTGTACATCTGTGTGTCGTGCACACCTGCATGTGTGTGTGTGTGTGTGTGTGTGTGTGTGTGTGTGTTCACATGCACGTAAGTATTTGGATGTACTGCTCCTAGTTTCTTTTGTTAGAAATGTAGATCTCCTGAGAAGAGATGTTGGCTGAAGCTGATGACTTAAGATTTAAAAGGTTTGGTGCTTCCTCCCTTTGAAATTTGGAGGATGTCTTATAGAGATGCTAATTCATGGCCTACGTGACAGCTAGCACACAGGTAGATGCAGACGTGACTTGAGCCCATTCACCTGGTTGCCTAGGAGACAGCCTAATGTGTTTTCCCGCTCAATTGATGTGATGATATATAAGGTGTTTGGATAATAAATAAGGGAATCTTCGAGAGATCTTGCCCTTCCATGATGACCGTGTAAGCTGCGTCTGATTATTCCTTGAGACTCGGTTCCAGTCCAGTTAGGGAATCTGTGTTGGACCCACACGGGCCCCAACACAGTCTGCTACGTCCACTCTGAACCGGGCACGAGGAACCTGAACCCTACTCCACATTTTCAGGACGACTGCTTTACTCACAGAGCCATCTCCCTAGCCCAAGAAAATAAGCCAAAAGGAACACGTTAAGCAAATACAAGGTGAGCAGAAGGCAAGGAGACACACATAAGTACACACAGAAGAATGTCTCGGTCCCTTCCTGTTACTTCCTCTCTCTGCTTCCTGGCTGCCACCGGTGAGCAGCTTTCCTTGCTCACGCCCATTCTCTGTGATGCAAGGAACCTCAGGAGCCAGGTTACCATGGACCAAAATCAACCTTTCTTCCTTTTAAGGTTTTCTCTCAGATCTCAGCAGCAACAAAAACGTTAGGCTTAAACATTTGGGTAGGAAGGATGGGTACTACAGCCAGCTGCATGGCTCCAAGGGACAGCTTCTGCCTTCCCAGCATGGGGTAGATAGTGCTGCAAATTCGGCTTTAGAAACCTCCTTGGTCTGGCTCCCTGCGCTGGGGCTGCTGCTCGAGCTTGGATGTGTGTGTGTGTGTGTGTGTGTGTGTGTGTGTGTGTGGTAAAGCTGGTTAGGTGGCAGCTGACTCTTCAGAATTCACCTCTTCAAGGGTTCATCTTTTCTTAAGGCCACATCTTTCTTGGAAAGATCCTTCGATGGAGAGTTCGGATCTCCAGATCAACCCTGGGCATAGACTGATTGTGTGTCTCTGAGCAGACACACAATCTTATTCTGTTCAAGATCTGGCATAGGCTTAGCTCCCGAGCTTGGAGGACACAGCTCTGAGAGTCCCAGAGCCCAGCGAGTCCTCTAGGAACACCTATGCTCTGTCCTAGCTACCCCAGTGCACTCAGCTCCCTCTGCCTGCACAGCTACTCTCTCTAACTTGTTAGATAAATAGAGCCTTCTGGTTTGAATCTGAACTGTACCCCATAGGCTGTTTCGAGAAAGTTTAGCCCTGGGCTGTAGTGCTATTTGGGGGAAAGGCCTGGAAACTCTGAGGGCTAGGGCTGGCTGGAAGAAGCTCCATACTGAGGGTGGCTGTGTGGTGAAGGGAGTATGTCCTCCATTCGTACATTATCCTCCATTGCTTCTGGTCCCGCTCTCTGCTTCCTGTTCTCCACCATATGCTCCAGCCACCATCATGTTCTACTCAGGTGTGAAATCACGGACATGACCCTGGAACCCATGAGCAAAACCAAAATTTTCCTTCCTTAATTGTTTTCTGTCGGGCATTCCCTCTATCACAGCCGTGCAGGAGAACCTAAGGGCAAGCGTGGCATCCGCGAGAGCCTTTCTGTAGTCGAGAAAGCCCAGAGCAGGCGATCTCTTTCCGGGGAGGGTACAGCTCAAAAACCAGGTGAAAGTGAATGCAGGCAGTGGGTGGCTTGATCCCAGCAGGTGTCGGAGGGGGGCAGGGGGCTCTGATTTCCCCTTTCACAAAATGCTGAAAGGCATAGATGGTTTTACTGTGCAAGATCCCTGTGAACACAATGTGATTTTCCATGTCTGTCAAGACGTCCCCCCAAAGCTCGACTCATGGATCAAGAGTGAATTAGGAAGGCCTCACTGCTCCTTGTCTCTGCAGACCTCGGGGCACCTCCGGATCTCACACCACAAAGTTTGCACTACCTTAGGTGGTGTGAAAAATCTCCCAGCAGCCAGGCCAGCACTCCCTACAGGCCTGTTTCCTGCTGGGGGAGCAGGTGACAACACCAGGGGGAGGGGCCCGGACCATGCGGAAAGAATTGGGCAATTCAGGTCACTGCCCTAGAACAGCAGCGCTCCTTATCTTGAGATGGCTCATAGGGGCACAAGGCCACGTTCCCAACGGGCACTCCAGCCCCCTGCCTCTGAGAAGGTCGTCTCACACTAGCTCCAAAGGACACAAAAGGCCAGGCTGCTGGTCCTCCTGGCACTACACTTTGAGCCGGGGCACTACACTTTGAGCCGGGTTGAACCGGGGCGCTGAAGAGTAAAATCAAGTCATCAGGAGAGGCCATGCAGGGAATGAGGGGCGCATCTCCAAAGTGCAGCATATAACGAAACAGAGACTCCCAACACGGGGTGGCTCAGGGCTGCGGGTTTAAAGGTGACCCAAGGGTGAAGCGTGCTGGGCTTTGGCTGGAATGGGCATACCTTCGTCCTATAAAGGAGTGCTCCCCGAACACAAGCACAGCCTGCTTCTGCTCAATGTGCTTATTAGAGTTTATTCGAAAACACAAGCTTGCCTCTAGACTCTGCTCTTTTCCTTTCTGTGCCTTTTCTCTGCAGCTTTTCCCAGGAGGTGCTCGGAAGAACTTGTCCACTCTCCTGTCATCTCTGCTGGAGGCCCATGGTTGTGTCCTTCCCCCCCCCCCCCCCCCCCCCCCCCCCCCCCCCCCCCCCCCCCCCCCCCCCCCCCCCCCCCCCCCCGCCCCTTCTTGCCACTTCTCTGCTCAGGCCCTCTGGTTCTCCAGACACTATCATTCCCTGTGTTAGCAGCAAAGGGCTGCTAAGGCAGGAGCGGACAGGGATGGGTGGAGCCAGGGCTGGTACCACCTCCTACAGAAAGATGCTGGGACCCTTTGTATTTACTCTTCTGGAACTTTCTGGAAACACCACCTCCCAACTTGCCTTCTCCCCCATACTCTTCTTCTACCTCCCATATGACCCCACCTCACTACCCCACTCCCATCTGCACCCTCTTCCTGGTGATACCACCCATTTCCAGCCCAACAGAAATAGTTTCCGTACTTTCCATGGGACCTCTTGTAGAGCTTCTGATCCTTCTGCGCACCGTCCTCAGGACAGCCTTTGAGGAGACTCAACAGTGACCCACATAGATGTTCTGAGACTTATTTTCCTGGCTCTCATTCCCATAAGGACTCTCTTTCTGAAATTCACACCCCAGTGAATGTGGCTATAATGGTTAACGGGGAGTCTCTCCCTCCCTCCCTCCCTCCCTCCCTCCCTCCCTCCCTCCCTCCCTCCCTCCCTCCCTCCCTCGCTCCCTCCCTCCCTCCCTCCCTCCCAGCTCACATCAGCCAACTTGATGGCTACCACTCTTAAGGCTTCTGGAGTCCTGTCCTCAGCTTGCTCCCTCCTAGTGAGAGGTGGGTTGTTTCCCCACCACCGAGCTTCCAGCTGGCCTCCCACTGTCCATTTCTTTTATTTTTACCCTCCCTCAACAGCCATGTGACCTTATAAAGTGAGCTTTTATATCTGGAAGAGCAAGCAACCCCAAACTTCCTTCTCCAAAATCTCTTGTCTTCTCTTATTATTTTACAAGTTTTATTTTTATATGCATGCATGAGTTTACGTGCACACATGTGGGCAACGCCCACAGAGGCCAGGAGAGGGCATTGAGTTCCTGGACTTGGAGTTACGGGTGGTTATAAACCGCCTCACATGGTGCTTGGACCTGAACCTGCATCTTCTAAATGAACAGTGAGTATGCTTAGCTTCTGATCCATCTTACAAAGTACTTACTACTTTTTAAAAGCAACTTTAGAAGCAAAACATTAAAAAAAAAATCAGTAATAACCAACTCAATCCAAAGATCCATTCATTGATAGGCCACCCTAAACCTCTTCTACTAAATGCTAGATTAGGAATTACTGAAGTCTGAGTTAAACTTATTTCTTTATGCATGAGGAGGAACCAAGAAGGAATCACTCTCTCCTTTTCAAGGGATTCATTCTTTTATATGTAATTCAACTTCAATGCTCTCTTGTGTTTTACTCAAGCATATCTGGACAGAGCCAGCAGTAGCAGCAGGTGGGCAGGGCAGTGGGGAGGCCAAGGCCTCTGCTCTTACCTCCCTGAGGCACGTGTAGATGGGGCACACCAGCACTCGGAAGGGCTCGCCCGTGCTGCTCCGCATGGTGCCGAACACCTCACACAGGAAGGTGATGAAGCCCAGCCAGCGCTCCACATCCTGTTGCTGCAGCTCCTCACGCACAGTGAAGTCCTTCTGCAGAGGCACAAGAGACCACGTCAGCCTCAGCGGGGCTGGGAGGGGCCCAGGCAACACCAGCTGTTCCCCAGCACCTACTGAATACAGGCTGATTCCGTTTCAATGAGGACAAAGCTACCTGGCCTGGCATCCACGACAGCACTTGCAGTTACCTGAATGGGGGGGGGGGGGCACAGTTTTTCTTCCTCTGAGTGTTGCTCAGGCTTGGTTACCTTCCTCCTTCACAGATGTCCCTCAGCCTTGTCTGGAAGACCCCAAGACTATGGACTGGGAATGGGTGGTTGAAGTGTGTATATGGTGGGAAGAGGTGGGGAATGACACCATTCTTGGATTCATTACCTCCCAGTTCAATCTGTTTTGTCTCCTCTGACTCTCCAATCATCCTTGGGAGTTCTGGAGAACACTGTTTGTCTCACAGATGAGCAGTCCACTGCTGAGGCCCATTTTAGGCCCTGTGCTAGGCTCACAGTGGGAGAACAACCCTGTCCACTAGTAGCTTAGCAGATAATAGGAAAATGTTATTTTATTATTATGTTATGTGTGGGCATGATGTATATAATGTGGGTATGTGTGCCACAGGGGGAGGTCAGAGGACAACTCTATGGAGTCAGTTCTCTTCTACCTTATGTGGTTTTAGGGGATCAAATTCAGGTCACCAGCCTTTCATGCAACTGTTGAGCCATCTTGCCCACCCAATAGGAGAATCGAAGGTCCTCATTCATTCATCCACCCGTCCACCCACCCATTCATCCATTCACCTGCCCACCCATCTATTCACCCACCCACCCACCCACCCACCCACCTGCCCACCCACACACCCATCCACCCACACACCCATCCATCCATCATCCATCCATCCATCCATCCATCCAGGCAATATACAAAGGGCTAGTAAAGCAAGTTCACCCTGAGTTATTGACATAAGATAGATAGGTTAATTGCCATCAGAAGATTCTAGAAAAGTGATTTTAGGATCTCAGAAGTAGGAATATTCTCAACTGAAAATCAGAGCCTAGATGAAGGCTAGGATTCTGAGATGCAGACTGACTAGGGCAGTCAGATGATGGAATGGAACCGGAAGGAAAGCAAACTGCCAAGAGCTGGGAAGGGAGACACAGGGAGTCGCTGGGGAGTTTCAGCTTTGTAAGGTGAACAAGTCCTATTAGAGATTTCTTGTACAACCGTGTGTACTTAACATTTTACATTGGCACGTGGTACACTTAAGATGGTTGAAAATTGTATCATTTTAGCTGGTTCCAGGACAGGCTCCAAAACCACAGAAACCCTGTCTCAAAAAACCAAAAAAAAAAAAAAAGTAAAAAATTAAAACTTTCTTGAATGGATATTTCAGCCTATGAAATATACGCCTCAGTTCTGAGGGAATCATGGTACAGAACAGGAAGGGGAAACTGAAATTGAAACCAGGCGGACTTTATGAAGAAGTTAAGTCAAAATAAGTCAGTAAAAGGTTGTTTTTTTAAGAGTGAATCAAAAGCCAGGAAGAATTTTTGGAAGAGAAGATATTTAACTTTTATTTTTTAAAATTCAATTTGAATTTTTAAATGCAACCTAAATGATATTTTACAGTAGTAGTTAACTAGTAATGCAATGAAATTCCTAAAGGCTGGTTAAGACTGCGAGAAGAGGACGGAAGACTGAAAAGCAAACAGTACTTCCTAATTTATACTGTGAGATTTTTATGTCATTGCTTTTTCCCTCAGCTTGAGTATCAGGGAAATATAAGGAAAAGTATGCCCTGAAGAATACTCAGATTGGGTACTCAACGGAGGCTCCTTCCTCTCTGATAACTCCAGCTTGTGGCACGTTGACACACAAAGCCAGCCAGGACAACAGACCTTTGTGTCAACTCGACACACAAACGCATCACGAATGCTAAGTCACACCCTTCCTTTCTCATTCATCCCTAAGATCTCACATTAAGAACATAAATAACTTTAAAAGTCCTACAGTCTTTACAAATTCAAACATTAAAATTTTAGTAACTAATTTCTTTTAAAATCCCAAGTTTCTTCAACTGTGGGTCCTAGTGAAATACATTCTTACTTCAAGAGGGAAAAACTGGCCCAGTCACAACCAAGGTAGAACAATTCCAACCGTCCATATGGTTGGGATCCTCTCATGATCTTCTAGACTCCTCCAAAGGGCTTGGTCACTTCTCTGGTTCCACCCTCTGCAGCACACACAGCTTGTCTTCTAGGCTCTGACTGGCTCCATTCCATTGCTGTTGTTCTAGGTGGTCATCCCATGCTACTGACATTCCCAAAATACTGGGGTCCCTTGCTGCAACTGGGGGACACTTTCACTAATAGCCTCTCATAGGCTCTTCTCATGGTGCTAAGCCTCAATCTCTTTGCATGACCCCTTCAGTCCTGGGCCTTCAACTGCCACTGAGGCTGCACCTTCATCAATGGCCTCTCCTGACCTCTCACAGTGCCAAGCCTCAGTTGACCCTTCATGCCTTCGAAACCAGTACCACCTGGGTGATGCTTACACATTACCAGGTCTGACTGCCAGCACAAGGTACAACCTTGTCTGCCTCTGGAACACAGCTTTCCTGGGCTCCCAGGAAACACTTCCCAGAAGATTTCACCCCAGTGATGCTGGTCTCTTCTTAATCACTGCTAATTACTTAGCTCCAGCCGACTAGTATCAAGTATCCCAGCAAAGCAAGATTTGCTTTGGCAGTTCTGGCATCTTGTTAATCACTACTGATTCTTCAGCTGCAGCTAATCAGAACCACAGAATCTTAATTCAAGATTACAAAATGGCCCTGACAGAGCCTTTAAACTTCCCTCTGACACTTCACAAGCCAGGCCTCCATCCTCTGCACTGCTCTCAACGTTCTTATCTTCCAGGCTCTACAGAACACCCCACAGAGCACTTAGCTCAAAGGCTCTTCTAGCCCAAAGTTTCAAAGTCCTTCCACAATCCTCCCCAAAACAAGGTCAGGTCTGTCACAGCAACACCCACTACATAGGTACCAATTGTCTTAGTTAGGGTTGTATTGCTGCAATAAAACACCATGAGCAAAAAGCAAGTTGGGAGGAAAGGATTTATTAGGTTTACACTTAAGCATTGCTGCTGTTATTACTGAAGAAGTAAGGACAGGAACTCAAACAGGGCAGGATCCTGGAGGCAGGAGCTGATGCAGAGGCCATGGAGGGGAGCTGTTTACTGGCTTGTTCCCCCTGGCTTAGTCAGTCACCTTTCTCACAGAACCCAGGACCACCAACCCAGGGATGGCACCACTGACATGGGCTAGGTCTTCCCCCATTAAGCACTAATAAGCAAATGTCTTACAGCTGGATCTCATGGAGGCCTTTCCTCAGCTAAGGCTCCTTCCTCTGATGACTCTACCTTGTGTCAGGTTGACACACAAAACCAGTATGTACAACTCTCACCTTCATGGGCACCTTCACCCACGTGCATATACCCACACTTATGCAAATGCACATAAAATTAAAAAAAAGGTTGAGTATATGCTGAAAATTTGAATATACTAGGTTAAGTAGAACATATAATTACATTTGAGATTATGTGAGTGGGTTGCACTGTATTTCTAGCAGACAGTGTTATCCAAAATCTCAACTGAAAAAAAAAATCAGAAAACCATCACCAGCTAAAAAAATACAGGAAAGAACACAATATAGATAAAACTGGAAATTAACTAGAAGAAAGGAAAGTGCATACAAAAGCAAGAAGGAACAATTAGAAAAAATTTCAATATGAAAACAAATATGGAAGTGGTAAGGCGTAACAAAAATCATGACTACGTTAAGTTGACAAACACAGTGAAGAATGCTTCGGGAGTGCCGGGCGGTGGTGGCGCATGCCTTTAATCCCAGCACTCGGGAGGCAGAGGCAGGCGGATCTCTGGGAGTTCGAGGCCAGCCTGGTCTACAAGAGCTAGTTCCAGGACAGGAACCAAAAGCTACGGAGAAACCTTGTCTCAAAAATAAAAAAAAAAAAAAGAATGCTTCAGAAAAACAAATATCAGTGAAACTTACTGAAAAGGAAATAGGTCAAAACCAGAAGAGATTAAAAGACACGAGCTAAAATGAAGTTATGAAAGAATTACCTTTACAGAGAGGTCTCTAAAGTCACGGCTCTCTAATAGCTAAATTCTTCCATTGAGATAACTGTTGTCATTTGGAAATGGACCCAAAACACAGGAGAAAATGAGCTTGCCAGCCAATCAGCGACAACAAAATCTCCCAGTAAGTTAAAAAGAAAGAAGGGCGTCTGCCGACCTCTCTAATGTGAATGGATGGGGAAGTCCTAAATGAAATGCCAGCAAATAGATCCATTATAACCACGTAGACGCTCGTCCTAGGAAGGCTGTAATGATTTAGCATCAGGAAATAATCTATAAACGCAATCTATTACATCAAGGGCTCCGACTGAAAAAGAGCAGCAATGCCCATGGGTAGAAGGGAGAGAGAAAATTATTAGATTATATGTATGAAAAACCCATGAGAACCCTCTAATAAAGATTAATCAGAGTTTAGCAACTAATTAATGAGTATTTAGATATTAAATTAATATATAAAAGTCAACAGCTTGCTTTCATGACACAATTTACCAGTGAGATGTTTTTAATGATCAGAAGCTAATTTATTAAATCCTAACACAAACTTTTGTGTGTGTGGCAAGGGTACTGGATGTAGAGACTTGGAAAAAAAAAATGACCCGAAAAGTAATTTGAAGGAATCATAGGGAAAAGTCACTAGTCAGGACACAACAAAATTGGAAAGGGTTGTATTACTTTTAATTTATTCCAAAGCTTTAATAATTAAAAGGCCATGGGATTGGCGGAGCATGGACAGCTAGATCAGATAACACAGAAACAAATTTGGCATCCACAAGGGTTTATTGTATGATCCCCTGGAGGCCACGAATCAGAGGTGGATGATACAGCGTTCGCTTGAGCAACACTGCAGCCACAGGGCTTAAAATCAGGGAGGAAGGGATCTACA